TGGGGTTGCCTCTGAAGACTGCTCGGAAGCTTCAAATGGTCCAACGATCGGCAGCCAGACTGCTAACAAGAGCGGGGTACAGGGAGCATACCACTCCTCTGTTGCGCCAGCTCCACTGGCTGCCAATTTGCTACCGGGCACAATTCAAAGTGCTGGCTTTAGCCTTTAAAGCCCTAAACGGTTCTGGCCCGACCTACCTGTCTGAATGCATCTCCTCCTATGAACCAGTTAGGACATTAAGATCGTCCGGGGAGGCACTGCTCTCGATCCCGCCGGCCTCACAAGCACGCCTGGCGGGGATGAGAGACAGGGCCTTCTCAGTGGTGGCCCCTCGGCTGTGGAACGCCCTTCCTGCAGATATTAGATCGGCCCCTTCCTTGCTGGCATTCCAGAGGAAAGTAAAGACCTGGATGTTTGAACAGGCATTCGACTAAGCAGTGTGATTGATTAACTGATTATTGGAACACGGAATAACAGACGAGTTTTAGATTCTTATTTCACCGACTAGACCGGATGGATTTGTTATATTGATGTATTGATGCTGATGTTAATTATGTTAATGACTTGTGATGCTTCTGTATTTTAAATGGATAATGATTTTGTATCCTGTATACCTAAACCGTTGTAAACCGCTCTGAGTCGCCCAAGGGCTGAGAAGAGTGGTATACAAATAAAGTAAATAAATAATATTCTTATGCATTTCCTAACAAATTTATAATAAACTGCACTGCAAAATATTCAAATGTTTACCATCACAAAAGACCTAACCTGGCATTGATAGGCACCTCAGCTAATGCTAAAGAGAAAGCTGAATTTGCAAAGAGAGAGGCAAGACCTAGCAAGAGTGAGTGTCCAAATGTAATGAGGAGGGGCAGAGAATAGAACCCCCTTGGCCCAAATCTATGGGGAGAGAATACCTTTCTATCTACACAAAAGCTTCCTGCAAAGGCAGGCTGAATACTCAAGGGGAAGCCAGGGAAAGGGAACAATGCCCCACTCTGCCCCCCCCCCCCCAAAGCCGTCCTGGCCCCACCTGCAGTGAGTGCTCTAGCTCCAGGCGAGGAGGGGGACTTGGGAGTTCTGGTTTCACAAGGCCTGGAGCCTGGGCCCAGCTGAGCAGCGAGAGGGAAGAAGGCACTCCGCCGGAAGGAAAGGCCAGYCAGGAAGGAGGAAGAGGAGGAGCCTGGCCCAGGCGGAGCCGCAAGGGCGCTGCTGCTGCCCCCGGTGGCCGCCCCAGGCATTGCAGCCTCTTCCCTTCCAGAGAGAGAGACAGAGACAGACAGAGAGAGAGAGAGAGAGAGAGAGAGAGAGAGAGAGAGAGAAGCTGGTTTGGACCAAGGGAGGGAGTGGCCTTGTGGGCCTCCTCCAAGGGAAGAGACAGGGCTTCCCTTTGGGAATGATTGATTTATCCTATCAGGAGCAAACCAAGGGTACAGTTGTAATGTATTCAAGAAGCAAACAACAACAACAAAACCTCAAAGTTTGCAAACTTGGCATTCTATTAAATTTATTTATTTATT